TCCCGAGAAAGTGGATAGGTCGCAACAGTCCGTTAGCTGAGTGGCCGTCAAGAGCTGCAGACTTGACGCCACTTGATTTTTATGTAATAGACAAACATGTCGACAAATAACACCACATCAGTTGAGGAGAGTTATTAGAAATAAGATGAGACGAATTGAACAGTGCATACCAAATTATGTGGACTAACAGAAAACAGTAATATTTAAAATATTATTTTGTTATGAAACTCATTTCTGGTATAATAAAAAATATATATAATTTGCTTGCCCTATTGTGAGCACCCTGTATGAGTGAAATCAATGAAACTGCATGGATATACTTTCGGTTAATAAAATTATGAAAAATATCTTGAAAATATTTTCCACTCTTAATACAGGATACTCTGCAATACGTGGAATTTTTCGAAGTTTGCATCTATTTTGTAAACACCCTGTAAAAGCTATAATAATGAAATTTTGTATTTAGAGTTTTGAGGTGTGATCAAATCGAAAATGCTATCCATTTCTTTCTTAAAAAAATGCCTAATATATTTTTATTTTTCTTAATGATTGTAGGTCGTAGAAAAGATCTCATGTCAAAAAATATAATATCAAAAAGTAGGCCTTTTTCCTAAATACGGAGTTGTCCCGACTTTAAGTGAAACACACTGTACATATGTACATAGATTCGCGCATTACAGTATTTTGTCGGTTTATGAAGGGATCATCAATCCTAGTAATTCAGTATACGCCATTTCGTCCATTCTCATATAATTACGCCAATCGTCAGGATCTTCTGTCAAATCCTTCATTAAATTTATATGTGAATGTATATTTCTGTTCAGAAGCCATTTTTTGACTATTTTGAACGATGACGTCTATTTATTTATTTTTTTACTAATGTAAAATAAAAAGAGGCTAATACCAATATTCTTCGCTTAGATACATATTCCTGAGAAATGTACTGATTGCTGCCTGCAGTGTCTGCAGCCTGCACGGTCTTACCTGCATCGTGTGAGTATTCTGTGTTTATTGCGCAAACCATACCGTGCAGGCAAGTCGCTGTCGTGTAGCCGCCGCATAACAGTAGTAAGGGCGGAAGACAATGCGTTGCCATTAGAGATTTTACTCGTGTTTGACAATTTTTCTACAATTTTATCTGCTTTGCTGTGCTTGGTAACTATTTGACCGCATATTTTTATCTTGGTAACGTCTTTAAGTGGTTCAGAAAGCACTTATAAATTACAGCAAAATTGAAGGAGTTATCGTCAAAAACAAATCATAATTTTTAAGGGAAATGAGCAGTAAACGCTGTACCATTTCCATCAGATTAAAAAATTGATCGTAGACCCTTTACAATTAGTTTTCTTTTAGTGTTTTTCATATGATCCTGAAGTTAGACCGGTTTAGAATGCGTATTTTTTTAATAATGTACGGTAAAAGTTGAAAACGTATTTTTCATTATAAAAAAAAATGCTTTATTTATATAATAATTCTGAAACTATGAAAGATACGTAAAAAAATTATAGACAACAAAAATGTAGCATTTTTTTTTTCAACAAATATTTTGCTTTTTTTATTCCTATCGCATAAAAAATAAAGGAGATATCGCCACTTGAAGTATCCATTTTAGTGAAAAAACGACCTGTCTCGAGCCCTTCGATCCTTTCCCTTTTAAAATCGAAGGACTTAAAAGGTTTTATATGCAAACGATCTTACAGCTTTTGAAATTATCTTTAAAATGCTTTTTTGTAGGATACTATAGCTTCAAAATTATCCGAGTTATGGTAAAAAAAACCAATGACATTTTTTCGAAGCAAAATAGGCTCTCATTTTTATATATTATATATTATAGGTATTATACAAATAAAATAAGTATGTTTATTTATATGCAGCATAGCATTTTTTATGATTGATTATATTTAAAAATCGATTATAATAAAAATATTTTACATTAATATTGGTAAAATGGTAGTTTATAAGAGTTGAAAATGGCAAAAGTAAAATATTCTTTCATAAACAATATAAGGGAATTTTTATTTTAAATTATTGCACAATTATAGCATTCCAAGATTTAAAACGTAATTTTTTATAATTTTTTTAGCACAGGGGTGATTTATAAGGGTTGAAAAGTGTTATGAGATACAAATTCTTTCATAAGTAATGAGGGAATTTTTATTTCAAATAATTTGCACCGTTAAAGCAATCCAAGCTTTTAAAAAGTAATTTTTTATCATTTTTGTCAATACAGGGGTGGTTTTTAGGGGTTGAAAGGGAAAAATTTTTTTATTAGCTATAAGGTAACTTTTATTTTAAATAATTGCACGATTTAATCATTCCAAATCTTTAAAAAGTAATTTTTTATCATTATTTTTTGTATAGGGGCAGTTTTTAAGGGTTAAATGAAGGGTCGAAAAGATCAAATATATCATAAAACATGTTCGAGAACATGGAACATTATTTAATCTTTGTGCTTGAACAGGATTTTTCTCAATAAAAGGCTTAAAACTTATTTTTTTTCATTTAGGGGTAGTTTTTACCCCTAAAAAACAAAAAGCGTCAATCGGGCTTATGTCACTTTTGAACTTGAGCCTAAGATGAGCCCTATTCTAAATTTTCATGCAAATCCATGCAGTTTCAAAGAATTCGTAGATTACAGCTGATTTTCAGTTTCAATGATTGTACTATTATTTTGAGAAATTCCATAGCCAATTAACTTTGTATTTTTTAAATTAGGTACCTACCTAATTTATCAATTTGGTACCTATTTGTTAACATTTATCAATTTCACTTATAACCATGTAGGTACGACGATAAAAATCATAATGAACTTGCGAATATTTTATGCAAATTAAGGTCTAATACATAATAATAAAAATTTTCACGTTCAATGTTGTTTATATTGTCAAAGTCTTAGCTCTTATGTACGCATGATAGTTTACAGATTCGCTGGGATTGTAAATAACAGAATATCTCGACGGGCAAAAGTTAATAGTGCAGTGAAGTGTTGAGTTCTACCGTTTTTTTTTAATTAAGGTAGTGAGTTAAGAGAGGCTTGAAATTTGTGTTTCACTTTTAATATTAGTTAACAAAACTGTAAGTACTAGGATAAACAAATACAAATATAAGTATTTGCAACATTAAGAGGAGAACTAATTTCTTTATTTTCTTATTTTTCATACACATTATGAGTTACTCTTGTTAAGCGATTTGGAAAATATGTATGTGCTTACACAAATAAATTTAAAAAATATTGTGTGATAATTAGTAACAAAGCTTAAACATTTTTCCAAGGAAATAATTCAAAAGTAATAAGTAAAATGCCTTAAAATTTAGTATTCCATAGATTGCTTATCCCGTTCAGGAAAAATGGAATTGGTCAAACTTTTAAATTAACTTTACAATAAGCTATGAAAATTTTTTCACAAAATTTAGTATAAATTATTGAAAATGTACATAATTCGATGGTTTTTAGATTTTAGATAAAAAATTTGATAAACTATTTTTGTTAAATTTGACACCGTAAATATAAGTTTTGATAATTAAATTTGTCAAAAAATAATTTTTTTTTAGAAAAATGTTTCCAATTTGAAATGTCGCATGATAAAGTTTGGAACAAAATTTATAACTTTTGTACTGAGTGATTTTTTAAAAAACGCCGAGACGGGTCGATTTTCTTCTTGGGAGGGGTATACTTTAAGATAATTCAGTTGTTTACAGGGTGACCCAGAAAAGCTGGATGGCAAATAATTTTGTTTTTTCTTATGGAATACTGTGTATATTTTTTCATATTCGGATAAAGCTTTCTCTTATGGACACAGTGATATAAGGTTTGATGGGTCTATCTCAAATAACAAGCGAGATAAAAAATTATTTTTCATAAAAGAAATTGTACTTGGAAACGAAACAAATGCGAAATCCAGAATACTTCATGAATGACCTTGAAATGACCTTGAATGACTTCTAGGGTATATCGTAGGGGTAAACAAACCTCGTATTCGGGTTCAATGATCTCTAAAACATAAGCATGCATTTTTTCAGATTTTTTGGAAGTCATTTATTGATTTGACCTTCAAATCACCTTGCGCCTGACGTAATGGAGCTTAAATAACCTTAGATTCGCGTTCAGTGACCTCAAAAACATTCAGACGAATTTTTTCAGATTTTTCAGACTAATTTTAACTTTTTCATCCAAAATACTTCATGAATGACCTTGAAATGACCTTGAATGACCTCTATGGTGTATCGTAGTAGTAAACAAACCTCGGATTCAGGTTCAGTGACCTCTAAAACATAAGCATGAATTTTTTCAGATTTTTTGGAGGTCATTTCTTGATTTGACCTTCAAATCACCTTGAACTTGATGTGATGGAGCTTAATCGACCTCGAATTCGTGATCAGCGACCCAAAAAATCCCTATATCCCATAGTCACTTCCGACGATTATCCCTAGATCAAATGTTGACCTGTGAAATTATTAAATTTCAGTTTTTTGTCGTTGCTTTAAAATAAAAACACCACTGTTGTAGCGTGACATTTTCACAAATTAGTACGTTATAATAACCTTAATAAACTTCGCAAATTTATCACTGAATTTTGGAGCTTAGAAGGAATGACACATTTAACTGAACGTGAAAGGATAGAGACCTTAATGATGGTTGGTTATGGTGATAAGTTATGAACCCATGCGGAAGTATGTGAGCTGTTTAATCAACCACATGCTGACAGACCATCAATTGCACGATCTACGGTGAGTAAATTGGTCGCCAAGTTTATTCAGGGTAAGTGTGTAGGAGAGACACGACAAGGTCGACCTCAAATCGTTGAAGAAACCATGTTAAATGTATTGTTGGAAATTGAAGAAAATTCCCATCAGTCAACAAGACAACTAGCCCTAAACACCAATGTGGACCAATCTTATGTTGTAAAGTTGCGTCGTACAGAAAAGTATTATGGATATAAAGACCAGCTGATACACGAATTAAATGAGGATGACCCAGACCGCCTGTTGCACTTTTGTTAACAATTACAGTACATCGCCATAATTGTATATATTGGTCAAATGACAATCCCCATTGGGCACAAGAATTCTTTTCCCCAACGCTGCAGACGGCGATATACCCCATGAAAATATTTGGTTTCAACAAGATGGAGTTGCACCTCACTTTGGCTTAGGGCCAGTTTCTTCACTGTCGGGTAAATTTGTCTGTCAGTTAAATCTAAGTCTGTTACTTTCTTATGCACGTGTATTTTATGAGACAAATATAGATTTAACTGGAAGATACATTTATCAGAAGATGAAAAAACCCGACATTAGAGATTCGGCAATATCTTGATGATACATTTCCTGAAAGATGGATAGGGCGGAGAGGATCTCTTGAGTGTCCCCCGCGTTCCCCCGAATTGACTCCTCTGGATTTTTTTCTATGACGTTATTTAAAATCTAGGGTATACTTCAATCGACCAAACAATTTAGCAGACTTACAACTGAGAATTCGTGCTCAAATGGAAAGACTCGACCCAGAAATTATTGAGCGTAGTGTGCAAAGTGTTTACTCTCGCTGGGGCTAGTGCCAAATTGTTGATGGAGGAAAATTTGAAAATTTACGTTAAATTATTTGCATTTGTTTCGTTTCCAAGAACAATTTCTTTTATGAAAAATTACATTAAGTAATTTTTTTAAATAAATGTAATTTTCTCGCAATATCTCGCTTGTTATTTGAGATAGACCCATCAAACCTTACATCGCTGTATTTGTAAGAGAAAGCTTTAACCGAATATGAAAAAATATAAAGGGTGTTCCATAAGAAGAAACAAATTTATTGGTCGTCCAGCTTTTCTGGATCACACTGTATACAAATGAATCATCTTAAAAGATGCCCATTCCGAGAACAAAATCGACCCGTCTCGGCGTTTTTTTAAAAATCACTCAGTATAAAAGTTATGAATTTTGTTCCAAACTTTATCATCACGCTGTATATTTTTAAATGAAATGAAAAATATATTTCATTTCATTTGTCGATTACAAATAAAATATTGGACTGAGAAGTAATTTTTTATCAACTTACAGACGTTGAAGGAATGAAGGAATTCAGCAATTTTTAATACATTTACATTTTTATGCGATTTGCCTCAATTATATTAAAAAATATGAGCCAGTAGGCATTATATTTACCAAAGAATTAACACGCGTGTAAAGGCGTGAGGAATAAATGTAAATAAATTGAATTAATCAGTATCCACCTGGTTACACAGCATTTAACGATGTTTCTACGTGCTTATTTAAAGAACACCAAAACTGTATAACGACCAAAACACATAAAAGACCCAACACTTTTGTTATTTCAGATATTAGTTTGAATCAAACGGAATGGAGTACATATCCTGCTTAATAATTTTCTCAGCAATATACGTTCTGTATTGCTGTAAAACTTACATCAGAACAGTTTGTATTTCGTTGAGTTTACCTGGACCTACAGCTTTACCAGTTTTAGGAAATGTTCTTATATTAAACAACCCAAAAAGTAAGTACATATTTTGAATTTGTAATCGTAATGATTGTATTTCCGGTAGTAGAACAAAACAAAAAAATTTAAAGCTTATCATAAAATGACGAAGTATGAAAGAATTTTGTAACTATGGTACCTACATCATGTCTCCCTTTTCATGAAACCACCCTTATATATCCCTTATTTAAAATGTTATCACATATTCATAGCATGAAATAGTTACCTACAAAATGATTATTTTGATATAATTAAATTTGATTTTAGTCATAGGTGGATTTTTTTAAAAAATACATTAGCGATTTTGTTTCTAAAAGTTAATATCCTAATTTAGCATCCCCAGGAACCTGTTTCTAATTTGAACAGATTTTAAGTTTTTTTTCTACGTTACCGTTTACTTAAAAAATTAGACTATATAAGGTGTTCCTTTTGCTTTTTGCTTTTCATGAAGTTATTTAATTCTCATTTATTTTTTTTTATTTGGTCGATAATGAAAATTTAGCGTAGAAACTTGATGTTCACAAATGAAAATATTCACAATAAAAATGCACTATAAAAGAACAAACAAAATATATATAGCATTAAATAACTAAAAAATTCTCTCCACTTCATTGAACCAGTGGTGGCTCGTGACATTATGGATAGGTGAGGCCGTGGCTTTTTTACTAGGTGGGCAAGAAAGAAAAAAAAGCGCAGTTGTCAAAAATTTTTCAATTTTCAAACTAATAAATGCATCTGGAAATTTTTAGTTGCATTTACAATATTGTAGAAAGACTGATGTTCATTCAGATTTTATAAAAAATAATTTTATAAAAGATATATTTACCTAATAATTAACATTAATTAATTGCTTTTACTTGCGGACCCATGTTCATCTGAACTTCTTTACATATTTTGCTGAGCGGAATATCCCCTAGGCTTTTGTCACTTCTGCTCTGAAACAACCGGTATATTAACCACATACTTTCTGATAAAAACTTGTTACGAATTGAAAATTTGATAGAAACTGTACTCTTCAACAAATACAGGATGTATTTTATGTCCATGTCGTAAATTAAGGGGATGATTCCTTGGCTGGTTTTAGGCCCAAAAGCCTTAATAAACAAAGGATCAATTATCACTGAAGTTGTTTAACGTAGATTGACAAAACCTGGGAAAATGATGCAACTAATTAAAAGGAATAATTATATTCGTCAAACAACTTCAGAGATAATTGAAAAAATATGTTTTGATGACCCAGGGAATCAGTCCCTTAATTTATGCCATGAACATAAAATACACCCAGTACATCAAAAATTTTAAAATCCTTGTTTATTTCACAATACTTAATTATTTGGTCTAATTTTAGTTACCTAAATCAAGGTTGTTGTGTAATTATTATTTTTCCTATAATACCTATATTATTAACGTTACCAACTGAACCAACAATTTCTTATTATTACTTTATATTTAGGAAGATTAGGACAATCTGCATAGAAATTAGTTATTAATGTCTTTGTTTTACTTACCTATATTAGATGGACCAAGTATGCATCTACTTTGTATTCTGCTCAAATTTATGTAAAGTTGACAAATACGTTACCTTCGAATTTGCATTGAATTGCACTGGCTAACTGAGGGTAATTCCTCTCTGCCGACAGATTTACTAATTTTTGTTTTGGTTTGATAAAAAATTTGAATAATTTATATATGATGCAAAGGAATATAGTCAATATATTATCTCAACGGATTCGAGACATCTAAAAATTTTGCTTATTGTAGTCTAAAGTATATTTCGTAGTAAGTATCCATAGAATTTCTTCGTCATATTACTTGCAACTCTAGACATGTCAGTTACTCTCACAATATCTAACTATTTACATTTCTAGATGAAATTGTAGTACTAAAAATATCACGTTATTAACATTTTAGTATAAATTAGTAGGTATTGATTGACAGTGTTTCAAGATATAATTTTTAGGAACTGTAATTTTTAAAATGGTTGAAACCTTTTAGAATTGGAAAAAGTGGGAACCAAGGCTTACCAATTTTATGGTCCATTTTTCAGATGTTGGATATCAGTTATCCCGTTTTTCTTCATTTACGAACCAAAGCATTTGAAAATAATACTAGCTGGGAAGAATTCACAAAAAAATGTTTTGTACAAGCTTTTACATAATTTTGTTGGAAGAGGACTAATAACCAACAATGGTAATTTAGTTTATCATTTTTTTAATAGCGTAACTGGTCTTTAATTTCAGGGGTGAAATGGAAAACACATCGGAAATTAATTCAGCCTTATTTTCATATTAATATTTTGGAAAATTATATAAATATATTCTCGGAGAGCACGAAGGAACTTTTAAGTAATCTAGAGGAGGACAAGGATATTAAGATTACACCTGTTATAAACAAATGCATTTTAAGCATACTTCACAGTGAGTAAAGCTTTCATGTTTAAGTAAAAGTCCAGTCCACGTGACTCTTGGGTAATTTTAATTTTATAAATTCCATGGCTTTTTTAAAAAATGACCAGAGAATTATCTAAAAATTAGTAGGTACTCTTTATGTATAGAGAAATTTTTAAAATGTTTTTAAAAACAACTAGAAATCATTTTAAATGTTTTTCATTTTTATATTTGTCCTATCGCTTCTATAAAAAATGTATATTAAAAATTTTTTGCCTGTGGTAAATAATGTTTATATGTATTACTCTGTAACGAAACAAGTAAACAGTAAACTTGTTCATAAAAATTTATTGTGATGAGAAATAAATAACAGAATTGCACTTCATGTTTGGTCCTTTCTTAATAATTGCTGACAGCATTAGAAGCAGTATTAAATGTCCAAAGTTAGCTAGAAATTGGTATACACAGGTTCGGAAAGTCCCCATGGTTCATCGGCCGTTACGTGAGAGCGATAAAGTAAGTCATAGACATCCGTGCGATAGAGAAGGATGGCTATAATGAAGGCGTCTCATAGTCACCGCCCGTTTCGCCCTTCCACAAATAAGATCCACTTCTATTTGTAATTCAGCGACCGGTGGTCATCTTTGTTTTCGTCGTTTGCCTTTTCTGTAATAGATGTCACTACTTATACAATTCCGATTTTGTATTCCGATATGTTAATACAATCCGTTAACAGAGGGCAGCACAATTTGTCTAAGGTGAGGCGCAGCCCTAGAAAGAGTGATACCAGATCTACAGATCTTTTTGGAATTGGGAAAATAGGGAATTTTGCTTTATTTCTTGGGATTTTAAGTCATTTTAAAAAGTATACTTAAATAACAACTAAATGAACTTTAAATGCAGCTGAGCACTATACTCCATTTGAATAACTTCTCAGTAGGGGAAACAAGGACACTAGATTTACAAACAGAAGTATCTACTAGCTTCTGTAAAAAATTTTCTTTGTTACGCGTTGTGCTGCCCTCTGTTAACGGATTGTATTAACATATCGGAATACCGGAGTCGAAATTGTATAAGTAGTGACATCTATTAAAGAAAAGCCAAACGACGAAAGCAAAGATGACCACCGGTCGCTGAATTACAAGTGGAAGTGTATCTTATTTGCGGAAGGGTAAAACGGGCGGTGACTATGTGACGCCTTCATGATAGCCATCCTTCTCTATCGCACAGATTTCTATGACTTTCCGAACCTGTATAAGTTTATATAAGTATAGTGTTCCTAAAAATGATGGAATTCATATTTTTTTCAGTTAAAATTAAAAAAAAACGCTGAAACAGATCGCATAGTAAATAGAAATTTTCACTTTTCTGCAATATTTTCTATTATTTTGAGCCATGTTTGACAGACCTGTAAGTAATATTACCGACATTTTTTTAAATAGGACGCTCTATAATATAGTATAAATAGATAGCCCTTCAAATAACGAATTCAACTATATAAGATTATACAACTTTTTTGTCATAGTTGTCAAAAAATGGAGGAATTAAATGAAAACAATAATTTAGTACTACTTTTTATTTTATTACAGCAAATGTTCAAAGTGCCCCCCCATTAACCATTGCACAATGCCCAATTCGGTGTTCAAAGTTATCAATTTACATTTTTGAATAACATTTGGAGTTACGTTTCGGACTTCTTCTCTGACACGATTTTTCAATCCTTCGATAGTTCCGATCTGTTCATATATATTTTGCTCGCAACAACCCCCACAAAAAAATCTAGTGGGGTTAAGTCAGGGGAGCGTGGTGGCCATTCAAGCGTTCCTCTTCTGCCTATGCATCGATTTGGGAACACTTCATTAAGGTAATTTTTTACATTGACTCGAAAATGTGGAGGAGTACCATCTCGTTGGAACCATACATCACCAGCAGGCATATCGTGCTCATTAGGGTTCGGAATAAGCTCCCAGTATGCGATTTCCTACTACTACAGCCAAACATTCACTTTTTCCGGACATTGTGTATTTTTTTCTTGAATCCAATGCGGATTTTCTGGGTTCCAAAACCTAGTATACTGCCTTTTTACGGTTCCGTTTAAGCAAAAAGTTACTTCGTCAATGAAAATTATGTGATTTTTTAAGTTGGGTTGTCTTTCAAAAAAATTTCTAATTTCCTCGCAAAATTGTAATCTTCTGTCTGCGTTATCTGCCTGTAGTTCTTGTAAAGACGTTAACTTTGTAAGGATTCCACTTTTGAGACTTTAGTTCTGAGAACTAAGGACAAGTTAAAGTTGGCTGATTGTGAGATGGATCTAATGGATGAGTGAGAATTTTCAGTAACGGCGAGCATCACATTTTGACGGTCATTTACGTTATCGTTCTTCGCCTTTCTGATCCAGGTAAATCTTTTATACTTTCGGTTTCTTCATACTTTTTGGATACTTTAGTTATTTAGCTCGACTAATTTTCTGGTCTGGATAATTATGGTGAAATAAGTCACCAAGTTGACTACGGATTTTATATCCACATCCAATCATAACTAAAATTTCAATTCTCTGTTTTTCGCTTAAACGGACAACCATATTTCAAAATAATTTAACAACGATTGAAATGAAACTAAAACGATTCACGTTTCACCTAAGGTAATCTGGTGAATTTTATGTGTTTATCGTGTTTTTTTTTAAAAGTGGAAAAAGATTGATAAAGAGTTGGTACGTTTTTTAAAGTACAGAAGAGACTATAATTGTTTGAAATAGTCGTTAGTACGACACAAAAGACAATTTTCTACAATTTTGTGACAACTATGACAAAAAAGTAGGTATAACCTTATATTGCTGAATTCATCTTTAGTAGGGCTATCTATTTGTAATATAAAATATAGTGTATTATTACAAAAAATGTCGGTAATGTTACAGGTCTGCCAAACATGGCTCAAAAAATAGAAAATATTGCAGAAAAGTGACAATTTCTATTTACTAATTGACCTGTTTCAGCGATTTATTAAAATCTGAACACACTGTATAATAATGTTTTTTAATTTAATTTTTTAAAAAATTTCAATAATTCCAGTCATTTTGGTGGTGCTTCTGCAAATAGAAAAAATAGTTAAATGAGGAGATTTTAGACTATTATTCATATGGTTTCAAAATATTAAAAAACTATAACAACTTATTATAAAAAATTTCAGTGAATTTTTATCTTTCAATATTTTGCCTACACTAAATGCAAAATTAATGTACTAAAAATACATAAATATTATTTATTACCTATATTTGGGCCAATCTGACAACATCGCATATTTAAACGAGACAATAATTTAACGAGTAATTTTGACTTTCATTTAATCGATTTTTTATCCATATCAGATTCACATTATCGTATAAAATAATACAAAATTTAACCAAAACTGCAGGAACTGTGTAGATTCAAGAAGAGTTTTAAAAAAAGTTTCAACAGTGAATTAATGTATCTAAAATTACCGAAATTTGTAATATTTCGAATAACCAGTTGTCCTTGTACAAGGTGATAAATTTTAACCAAAAAAATGTTGAACGTCGACATCGGCGTCTTCATAATCATTAGCAGCATTTAAACCTGCCTTCTCTCAAAACTTTGAACACGAAGTTTTATCTATTTTGTGAATTGCACATCAAAATCATCTCATTAAATATTTGAACCAATTATTGTGTTTTATTATAATATTTATCAAAATATAATAATATAAATATTGTTTCAACGCATTATTTAATTTTTTCTAGTTTCAAAAATCCCCACATATTCATTAACAAAATTGTTCACACAATATAACCGTCACTTTTTTGATAGACAGAGAATAGATATGCGAAGCAGGTACTGCTATCCTCTACTAGCAACCCGTATATAATCTGACATTGGGTTGTGGTAGAATCGCAAAATTGAACATAATATGCGATTTTAAATAGATATGTTACCGGCCAAATATGTGTTCTTTTTACAGTAATTAACCACAATGAGTAATACGTTTCGGCAAAGAGATTAATGTATTTTATTGTTATTTTTATCCAACTAGGGTAGTACTACGTGATGATTTGCACTAGTATATCAACAATAATTGTTGAAATAAATTATCAGCTTTTAGAAAAGTAGTTTAATATGCAAGATATAAACTTTTTTATAAATTGTTACAGTATCTATAGTTGTTAGACTAAACAAGTTTGATATGGATATTAAGTTTTGGCAATTGTTAAAAATTTGTCGGAAATTGGAAACATTAGCACAGTTGGTCCAATCTCATTAAGATAATTAGATCGACCTTTTACTTTTACAATGAGAAATATTTAAAGTTAATGATTTACGATATAATAAAAATTTACATTAATAATTTCATCCTGTTTATGAAAGAAACTTGCAATTTTTTTGTATTATAATGTAGTTGTGGCGCAAAAGTCAGCAGTTCATACTTTTATAAAAGGAGTTATTATATTATTATTTTAAAATCCAGAATTTCTTAAAATGCCAATAAATTACTTAAAACATATATTGGCCTTAGAGGCATAATTTATTTTTCTGATTTGTCTGTTAAAAACAAGTTTTTAGTTTTAATTTACAGGAATCGAGACGTTACGTAATATTGTTCAAGGACGTCTGACAAAAAATCGCATGCTTATGTTAATTTCTAATAAACTTGAAATTTTATTACACAATCTGTCAAAAATTTGATGTGAAACATAGTTTTTGGCCATGTTACTCAAGAACTGTTCATAAACGTCCCACGTAAGACGGGTTCTTCACTAGGTGTTAGTTGTAATATAAATAATATAAAACATGTTCTAAATAAAAGTTCTTCCAAATCAATTTCTTTATATTTTAAACTTATTTTTAAGGGTAAAAAAATAACCTTTGCATCGGAATTGGGAGAGGTATGAAAGTTTCAATTATCTAAAAGGGTTATTTGATGAAGGGAGTCTGCTTTTAAAAATTTGTCAATAAAAGCTTTTGTGCATAATTTCTCTTTTTTTCGTAAAGTACATCGCTGTTGAAAGTTTACATGTCGGTAGCTATTATGAGAGAATTATACTGTACTAGTTCCAATGTACAGAGTGAACGATTTAACTGGAGAAATGAGTTTTTCTGGGAAACGGCCGAGAAAAATAAATTATTTTAGAAATTATTTCTTTTTTGTTTACTTTTAGTAGATGTTAGGGCAGAAATACAGAAATTATCTTTACGACGCTAGGCGTCGCGGCGCTTAAAAAAAATTTTTTTTCCGGCAACATACATTTTTTAATATGTCACGATAAAGATCCCTTAATTTTGAATATTTTTCCTATATAACATTTTTTTATGGTCCCATTATTTAAATAGTATATTACGTAATAAGTGTTGTAAAAAGCGTTTTACGCACGAATGGAAAAGTTACGCACGACGATTCTATGAGTGCGTAATTGCATTACACAACGTATTACGTACTATATTTTACCTACGATCACTATTTTAAATACACACCGTCTGCGATCATTGCAAGATTCCTATTACGTCGTACGGTAAAAAAATCGCACAGCTTGGTAAAAAAATCGTACAGTTTTCCTAGCAACCGCCTAGCAACGGTCAATACAAACAGTATTGTATTGGCCGTTGCTAGGCAGTTGCTAGGAAAATTGTGCGATTTTTTTACCGTGCGTAATAGGAATCTTACATCGATCGCAGACAGTGTGTTTTTAACTATTTACAGTAGTGGTCGTAGGTAAAAGTTGTTGTCGATTCCCAAATCGTACTTTGTTAATAAGACACCATCATAAAACTATATAAACTTTATTATTTTTTTAATAAATGCAAGCAAGCTAGACAAAAAACAATATTTGTTTTCATATGACATATGCTCAATGAGAAGTGTCAAAATTTTGAAGGTTTTAATAATTCTTATAGTGTTTATAGAATTAATTTTTAAAGTGTTGTGATCGTTCATTAGTAGTAATTACTGAAAGGTAGCAGTAATAAAATGTTTTCCCATGATGAAAAAGTGGATATGCTGTTAATTTTCGGAGAAGCCCAGAAAAATGCATTACGAGCAGGAATATTATACGCACTGAGATTTCCGAAAGAAATCTTCCATATTATCAAATATTTAGCAAATTGAAAAATGTTCTCCGTCAGAATAAGAAATTATTTTTAGTTAACAGGGTGAGACAAAAAACAGTAACTGCTGTTGAAAATGTGGCAATTATAATAAACTATTTTGAAAATAATCCTGAAGCATCGATTAGAAAGGCTTCGAGAGAGTTAAATTTGGCATATAATGCAATTCAAAAAGTTTTAAAAATTAACAAATTTCACGATTATAAAATACATCGTGTGCAAGAGTTAAATCCTGGAGATATTAAACGTCGAAAAAATGTTATTTCTCAGTTTTTAGTTGCATTAGATGATTATCCTAATTTGTATAACCACATTTTGTGGACAGGTGGGTCATTTTATTAGTCATGGCATTCCAAACCGGAAAAATACTCATCGTTGGTCGGACAAACACCCACATAGTATTAGAGAAGTTCAAAGGCAGGGTCACTTTAGGTGTGGAATTGTAGGGCGCCATGTAATAGGTTCATATTTTTATGATGGTGTCTTAACGGGACAAAGTCATTGCAATTTTCTTGCAAATGAAATTTCTATTCTTATAGAAAATGTGCCACTTCAAATTAGGAGACACCTGTGGTTTCAACTGGATGGGGCGCCTTACCATAATGCTGCAGTTGTTCAAAACTGTATAAATTTGCACAATGAAAATAAGTGAATAGGTACTAATGGCCCTTTACAATTTGCTCCGAGAGCCCCATATCTAACTCCTCTTTTTTCTTCTTGTGGGGAGCCCTAAAAAATATTGTGTATAAAACTAAAACAAACAGTATTGATCATTTGAAGCAGAAAATCACTGCTGCTTGTACATAAATACGTGGCAATATTTTAAAAAAAGTAACGTCCAGTGAACTAAGAACACGTTACGAATTGTGTTTAAATAATAATGGTGCTCACATTTAACACCTATAAAATATTAAGTATTGTGTTTATTTATTTTTATGTTTATTTATTTCAGTTGACATTCCTTTTTTATTTACGTATTTCAGTTGATATTCTTTATATTGTTGTGGTCTTCCTTATACGATAGGTGGGTTTGTAATTCTTACAAATTAATGTAATTGTTGTATACACAGTTGTTTTATTAAACTGTTTATAGTGAATACGTTTTTTATTGTAAATAGAGCCATAGTTGTTGATATATTGAATCAGTAAGAGCACTGAAGAAGATCTATATCGCTGACTACGTCGTTGCAATAATAATAATTGTGAGATAGAGAAATTCATTAGAGAATTGCCCGTAACTTCTTAAATAACGGGAACATAAAAAAATGTTATATAGGAAAAATATTCAAAATCAAGGGATCTTTATCGTGACACATTAAAAAATGTATGTTGCTGGAAAAAAAAATTTTGAGGCGCCGCGACGCCTAGCGTCATAAAGATAATTCCTGTATTTTGATCCTACCTTCAAGTAAATATAGTCAGAAATGCAATAGTTTCTAAAATAATTTATTTTTCTCAGCCGTTTCCCAGAAAAACTCATTTCTCCAGTTAAATCGATCACTCTGTACTCAAGAACTGGTCAAGAACTTTTCACTTTTAATTTCTTGTTTTTTTCCTTTTGTTTTGACAAGAAAAATCGGTACGAAAATTAATTTTTTTCGATATACAAGCTGCGTTCCAAAATAAACAGGACTCTTCAAAAATAGGTATATCTGAGGCCGTCTATTGGCCGCATGTAATTGCGTCGGAAAGGTAGGTTCAGGGAGAGTGGGCAAGGAGCACGAATTCATACAGGAAAATTGACAACATTTATCAATGTAATAGTAAAAATTACTTATAGATTCTCTCAGTACAAAAAGTAGATGGATAGATGGGTGGATGGGTGGGTTTTATAGGTGGTACAGGTGGATGAATAAATATGCGTATTCATGCACGAACGGCTGGATAGAAAGATGTATGAGTTCATATATGGGTGGGTGGATAAAAAGATGGATCCAGAACTCTGCAACACGAATTATGCCATGAAAATGGCGTTTTTAAGCATTTTGATCTATTTTCTGTTTTTGAATGAAATTGGACCAGCTTGTCTGACTCTATGATGATAAATTGGAATTAAACGAGTGAAAACTCATACGTTTAGTGAGCTGGTAGGAATAATTTGATTTTTTATAACTTTCGTCGATCGTAAATGACGTTTTTTGTGAATTTTGACCTGTTTTTTAAATTTTTCCGAATACTCAGACCCGTTGGGCCAAATCTAAAGGCATATTCGGATTCAGCTAAAAAAAATACATGGCAATACAAGGGTCTGAATACCAGATCTGATCCTTTTTTGTGGGGCTGTGTAATGAATGGTTCTGCAACCAAATATCAATTCTAAGTTACATTAATTAATTAATATATTAATATATTTAGGTGCTTTTATGGAGTATTTTAGGGTGGCCGTTTTTTTTTCCGATGAGTATAATTACAAGAAGGATAACTGATATACAAATACTTCCGTTAACATCAAACTTACATAGTGATTCAACTTATCAAAGAATATTTACAGCGATAATGAGAACTGTAAAATAAGAGCAATATTTTAGTAAATAATATAAATTACGTACATATCAGTATGTTTTTTCTTTAATTCAGACGTCCAGTATATCCGTTTCATCAAATTTAGAGAACAGTACAAATCTTTTTATAAAGGTGATAATTATCCTTCGCTCATTTTTTATTTAATTAATTTCTCACTTTTACTTACAAGACGTGTTATTTTCTTATTTCATTAATTTTAAATATTTTATAGTGGTATTTAAGTATTCAAAATGTTTTTAAATGGCCAAAACGTTCAAAACTAGTTTATGTATTGTATAAAGTGAATTCATTACAACTAAATAATAACACCTATACAAATAAGTAGTTACCAAATATACGTTTTAGAGGCTGTGTTAGGCGTTTCTTTGAAGGATGAAATGCAGTCTCCATACAGAAAGTGAGTAAAATGCTATTTTGAGACATATTTAGATATATTCAATCATAAATTATTTTAGAGGTGAGGTACTGTTGACCCAGAGAATAACTAAACCATGGTTACTTTTGGAAACGATTTTCAAATATACGCCTTTCGCTAAAACCGAAGAGAAACAGAAATTGAGTTTGCATCGTTATACGAAAAATGTAAGTATCTCTAGAATTAAGATACTTTATTGTGTATTGTGTATTGAATTATTTCTAAGTTGATTTCTTGTAACAAAGTTTGGAGGTGAAAAATAGAAAACTTTTTTTAAGTAACTATTTCCAAGAAACTCAAAAACAAAGCTCTCTAAAGTTTATAACAATTTCAAGCCAGGTCTTGGCTTAAATGAATTCTATCCGCTCTGCGCGTGTCACGAAGTCAATTGTTTTGAACCAAATGCGTTTCCGTGGCTATTCTTGTGGATTGTTTGTGTCCAAATTGTTGTTACAGTGACTCATGCTTGTGATAGTATCGAGCTAGTAAACATGATGTTAATATGTCATAATATACAGGGTGTCTCATAATTAGCTGCCAACCCTGAACAGGCCGATTCTATGATCAAAACTAAGTAAAAAAGTTCATATGAACATGGGTCCGGAAATGCTTCCTAAGGGCACAGGGACCCATTGAAGAGGGAGGAATGGAAATCATTTTTTTGCAATATCTCTCAATCGCGTTGTGATAAATGAATGAAATTTGGTATACACAGCTAAATTTTGATGAGCAATTTGATGGACTAATCCATTTATTTCCACAAGGTCCATTGGGGTGGGTACGGGGGGGCCCTTGGTACTTTGCGTGTGTAACTTTTTCATCTTTGACTTTTTAACAAATTGGACAGCAAATTCCGTTTTCCCGAACTGTTTTACGTTAAAAAGGTACTCTTGTTTCAAATCGTTATCTTTAACGGTTTCTGAGAAAATCGCTCTTGAATTAATCCCACTTTGGTCAATTTCATAGTAATTTAAACAAAAAAAAATATTTTGTTTCAATTTAATCTAGTTTTAATAAAAAAATAATAATAAAAAATTAAATTAAATAAAAATTAATCCTTTAAATGGAAAAGAGAGGAAAGGAAAATTATTATTATTATTTTTTGTTTAAATTACTATGAAATTGACCAAAGTGGGATTAATTCAAGAGCGATTTTCTCAGAAACCGTTAAAGATAACGATTTGAAACAAGAGTACCTTTTTAACGTAAAACAGTTCGGGAAAACGGAATTTGCTGTCCAATTTGTTAAAAAGTCAAAGATGAAAAAGTTACACACGCAAAGTACCAAGGGCCCCCCCGTACCCACCCCAATGGACCTTGTGGAAATAAATGGATTAGTCCATCAAATTGCTCATCAAAATTTAGCTGTGTATACCAAATTTCATTCATTTATCACAACGCGATTGAGAGATATTGCAAAAAAATGATTTCCATTCCTCCCTCTTCAATGGGTCCCTGTGCCCTTAGGAAGCATTTCCGGACCCATGTTCATATGAACTTTTTTACTTAGTTTTGATCATAGAATCGGACTGTTCAGGGTTGGCAGCTAATTATGAGACACCCTGTATATGGAAACATCGCAAAGGACACGTAGGGACGAGTGAGATTTTTGACATACTTTTAATTTATCTTGTCGATAATGCAATGATATATAGGGTGTTCCATTTATAATAACGAAGTTGACAGCTACTTCTGGTATAACCGGAAGTGCTACGTTGATGGCATTATTTTCATTAAAGAGAACATATCTGATAGTGATAACCCCCGTAAACAAAATTTTAGAGTAATATTGTTGACCACTTACCGTGAAGAACCCTGTATATTAATTTAGAAAATTATTAATTTATATTATTACTGATTTTGAAAATTAGTTTCACTTTGTTTAAAAATATACAGGGTGATTCACAACTTATCCAAAAAAATTTGGAAATAGATGCGGCATGAGAGATGGAGTCAATATCGTAAAAAAAATTGTAAAATCCGAGAAAAAAATTATTGAAGTTATAGTGCATTCAACCACTATATAGTTGGACAACTGTAGTCTTTAGCGTTCTTCGCAATACATGTGGAGAGCCACGTGGCCTCAGCGACTCCGAATTTATGGTGAATCAAGACAACATTTGTATTATGGTGAAGCAATTGTGTTGTAGTGAAACAAGACAGCATTTGTGTTAGTTCGTGGAAACTGAGTAAGACGTACGTACCCAAATGTGTTTACACGCTGATGGATAAAATTTTGAACAATTGTTGTTGTAACGGGTATGTCAAATGATTTTATTATTTAACAACACAAATTAATTATTATTAATTAATAATAACAATAAAGGCAAAATCAGTTGATTTTGCCGATATAAAATAGGTGCTATAAATAAAATTCTATTTATTTCTTTCCTTGCGAAAGTTTTTGTCCGTTTTTATCACACGGCCATGCCGGTCGCATTGTGCGAGGTCAGGTTTTACAGTGGACCAGTTTTCAGTGCTGTGCAGAAGTGTATTTCTGAACTGCCCTTTTTGATTTTTTCATTACAAAATTGTATTTGTAAAAGTTCCCTGTACATCCAGAATTTTTATTTTTGAATAAGTTCTGAATCACCCTGTATAACTAAAATAACGAATTTAATTTATTTTAAAAACTTCATTGCCACTAATAATTGCTAATGTGATTTGAATAGCAGATTTATGTATTTATAGTGTGAAGTACGAAATCAATATTAAATTCTTAAAATACCATATGATTCAATGGTATGAATATGCTTCCAAAATATGTTTAAATTAATCTGAAACTAACTTTGCGAATTGAAAGATTTTATGTTGACCTTTTTAATTTTTAAAAAATCAAGTAAATATTCCGATATGATAGTTTACTCAACAGCATGCTCTACTGCTCACTGATTGTTTGTAATTAATCAAAATTTTAGAATGTTATTGCTATCATCAAGTGGCATTTGTTTGAAGGCTATTTCAGTACTGGTATTAGTACATACGTTTTTAAACAAAGGAAAGGGGTCAAAAAACAGTAAAATAAACAATTAGGCGTTGATGCAACCTGAAGGATAATGACGTGTAATGATTGACAACGCCACTCTTGGGGATTTGTTACATAATTCCGTGTGTTATGATTGCGTTTGCTTCAATAGGAGTGAATATGATGTGTTATTAAAACATGTGTGAAAGTTAACCTTGAACTATGAAATAATATTCACCTGCGTCGAGATAGGATAATAACCTTTGCAGAATTAGAATAATTATTTTCAATTCAGTAAACTATGTTGATTTCATTGGATTATGTATTGGCTACTTAACCTATATATGGTGTCTCGTAATTCGACTGCAAAACTTTTACAAGGTGATCTTTGACTAAAACTGACACAAATAGATCGAAAACTAGAATTCAACTCCTGAGAAAGATATAGAAATTACATGCAAGATAACCTATTAAGAAAGACTTTTTTTCAATATGTTTTAAACCAGTTGAAGCATCAGTAGTAAAAATAATAAACATTTTTGGCTAGTGATGTTTCATATACAAGGTGTCCCGATACTTTATACAAGAAAGTTGAGTACAAATAGATGACGTCAAAATAATTTAATATAATTTTTTTTCATACGGGCCTTCGTTAACAAGTTACGGGATCTCAAAAGTGGACATTGAACAGTTATTTTTATTTACAGTATCTAAACTATTAACTTCAGAATGATGCAAATTTGGTGATAGATAACACATACGTACAGCTTGTTTTTGATGTTGTAAGTGAAACTTCATTATACCCAGAACGCCAGGGACGGACTATGGTTAACAACCCAGAATTTTTGGGTTCACTTGGTTCGAGCTGCGTCTCCACCATTTTTTGTTTTAAATTTTTAATTGGATATAATTCGTATGTCAGATGTACGGTTCTTAAAATAAGAGCCTAGAAAATTTTACTGTATGCAAATGTAATTTTCACTAACAAAATTTGACAAACACAATTTACAGATAATATAAAATAGAAAAACAAAACGAGAATACGTTAAATAAGTTAACAAATAATTTAATAGAAAGAAAACTATCAAAATACATTTTCAATATGGGCACCTTCCACCTCCACACTCTTCCTAAGTCTACGAATGCTATTTGTTTGTATACGAAAAAGCATTTCTGGGGTATGTCTAATATTATCATAATGGAAATAAATTCTTTGTAGCAATTCATCCCTTGTTTGTACAGGGGTTACGTACACTAAACTTTTCAGGTATCCCCACAGGAAGAAGTCCATCGGGTTAAAATCTGGAGAACGTCCAATCCATTTATTATTAAACACAACATACATTAATTATTATGAATCGGAGCTGATCTTTTATTAGCACAGTACCGTGCGGATTCCCTTCATCCCTTAAACGTAAGTTATGGTAATTATGAATTAAGAACTTATTCTTGTTTTGTTTTTCTATTTTATGTTATCTGTAAAGTGTGTTCGTCAAATTTGGTTAGTGAAAATTACATTGGCAGCCAGTAAGATTTTCTAGGCTCTTATTTTAAAAATATGTACGGTTCTAACATAGTAATTATGCACAATTAAAAATTAAAAACAAAATGGTGGAGGCGCCGCTCGATGTGCACTGTGACATAAAATCACAAATACTTCCTAAACTGTTAATTTTACCGTTAAACCAAGAGGGTATTATCGTTGGCAAATTCTTCAGGGAACTTATTTTTGATACAGGCAGATTGCGATCGTCATTTATACAAAAATTCTAGATTCTTAACCATTGGACATAGTCCGTCCCAGGTGTTCTGGGCACAATAAAATTTCACTTGCAACATTAACAACAAGCTGTACGCATGTGTTATCGATCGCCAAATTTGCATAATGCTGAAGTTAATAGTTTAGAGACTGCAAATAAAAAATGTCTTTTTAATTTTGGGGCCCGTAACTTGTTAACGACGGTCCGTATGAAAAAAAACTGTATATGATGAACCTCATCGACTTGTACTCGACTTTCTTGTGTCAAGTACCGGGACACCTTGTATACATTGAATCACAAAAAAAATTGGTTGTGTGTAAACCTTTTTTTGTATTGATAAAAGAAAAAGTCATCATTTTGGCGCTTTTCGTCACAGTAACATGAAAAGGAGACGTAATTGAAACAAAATTGATATTGAATGCGATTTTTAAATAAAATTGAG